CTCCGCTGGGCACAGGAGGTCCACACCTACAATCGAAACAACTTGGGAGGCTAAAGCAAAGAGATCACAAGTTCAAGGTCAGCCTGGGCAACTTAGCAAGACCCTGCCTCAAAATATAAATAAATAAATAAGTAAAAGGCTGGAGACGTAGCTCAGTGGTCGAGTGCTTGCCCTGAATTCAATCCCTAGTACTGCAAAAACCGAAAACAGGAAAAGCTATGCATCTGTTTAATTCCAAATCCATCTTCCCTGACCCCAGCAGATAGTGACCCCCTCCGGTTTTAATTCTGTACTCGGTGTGTATCACCTTCTCCGTCAGTCACTGCGTGGGAACTGGGTGCCTTGTCACTATGACCCCTTTTGTGAATGACAAAGGGTTTGAAGCCGAAATACAGCTCTAGCTCACATTCGGGTGAGTTTGGACAAGTCACGGCACTTTTGAGTCTTGATTTCTTCTCCTATGAGATAAAATACGGAGCCTCCCATCTCCCTTGGGCTGCTGTGAGGCTGTCCTGCAATAAGACGTTTGAAAGGACCTCCATCAATTATAAAGTACCAGCGCATTTGAGTTAGAACAGACGTTTTAAAGGTTCCTAATGGACCATCCCTTTGAGAGCGAGGACAGGCTCTCTGCGTTATCAGAGTTCACCCAGCCAGGCCCTCCAGGACACTACAGCCAAAGATGGGTCCTGGCTTCTCCTCCACTCCCGGGCTCAGCAGCACCCTCCTCCTTCCCCTGGGAAGCCCCTTCTTCCCCGGGCTTCCTCCCCAGGGGGAGCCCCTTCCCCTTGCTCTCTGCACCCTCTCCCCTGGAAGCCCAGGCCCTGACACCTCTGTTCTCTCCCCCCTGGTCCCCCCCCATCTCACCCAGGCTCATGGCTTTAATGCCATTTAATTGCTTCCAACTCACAAAGCCGCACCTCTAGATCACTTCCCTGAAACCCCAATGACTAGCGAATGGCTTAAACGCTTAAAAAGTGTCTTAGTCCCAAGGTGTTCCGGCCGAGCTCCTGGTCTCCCAGCCTGCAAGCCCACTCCTCTTTGTTAAAGGCTTTCGGTCTGTCCAGGGACTTGAGCCAAAAATCTTGGAATCATGCAAGACTTTAACTCTCTCTCTCTTCCCACCCAAGGCACTAGAAAAACCTCCTCCGGCCTGAACTGTAAAATGCATTCAGAATCCGACTCCTCGCTGCTCCACGCTGCCTTTACCCGGTCCACACCACCATGGCCTCTCACTGGGGTCTCCGCTCTCGCCTTTGCTCACCTCTGTTCTGGTCTCCACCCACCAGCCAGAGTCTCCCTGTCACACACGAGTTACATCAGGTCATTCACTGTCCAGACCTGACAATGGCATCTCCCTGTCACACACAGAGTTACATCAGGTCATTCACTGTCCAGACCCGACAATGGCATCTCACCAACCTTGGCGTCAACTCCACAGGCCTGGCCTCAAGACCCCTGCTGTCTGCAGTGCATCTCTCTTTCCACTCGGACCTCACCGTCTCCCACTGTCCCCTGCGCTCACCCACTCCAGCCAGCTGGCCTCCCGCGGTCCCCTGTTAAGTCTTCCTCTTGTCCTTCCCTCCATCTGAGGCTCCTCTCCCTGATGCCTGGAGCTCCTTCCTCTGCTTCTTCACGTCACTTCTCTGCGCCACCTTCCCCAGAAGCTCAACCCTCGCCATCTTACTGAAAACTGCCCTTCCTGCTCCCTTCCTGCTCCCGTCTCCTTTCCCTGCTCCATTTTCCTCAATAGTGTGTCACCTGGGAACACAGGGCTGACTGTCTCCAGTACAAGCTCTAAGAATGCAGGGGGTATTACTTATTTTGTTTACTTATGGGTCCCAATGTTTAGAGCAATGCTTGGCACATCGAGAGCTCTGCAGAAACAGTACCTAAAAGAATTCATGAAACTGGGATGGTGGCACATGCCTATAATCCTAGTGACTAGAGAGGCTGAGGCAGGAGAATTGCAAGTTTAAGGCTAAGCTCAGAAAAAAAAAAATCAATGAAGAGAGGATGAATGAACAAGGTAGGTTTCCTACATCATGATCGATATAGTTCTAAACACTTATGTCTTTAATGAGTAATAATGGGCAGAAATATCATCCCAGTTCTCAGAGACGGCTGGCATTTAAGAAACCGACAAATTTGAGGCTATGAGGAGAAAACAAAATAAATTCGAACACAAACAAGTAACTTAAAAAACTCATAGCAAATAAGTAAGTAGAAATCAGAACACAACTAAGGACCCAGAGAATCACCTCTGAGACTTATTGTGAAAGTCAAAGTTAAAGAAATGCTTCTTATTAACTTATAAGATCCTTAGCATGTATCATAGTCATCACTTCTTGAAGGCACAACTACACGATCAGACTTTCTTCCTGTGAAAGTTTATTGAAAACACCTTGGTGGATCACTCTGATCACAGTAATTTAAACTATTCCAAGTTGATGAGCCGTGTTAAATATCTAAAACCATAAAATTTGATATCTATTATAAAGTTATTAAGTATATTTGTTTATAACTAAACAATTAACAACATAAAGACGAATCTTAATGAATTCATCATTTTAAACTCTGACATTACAAGCTGTTATGTTAGCAGTTGCTATGTGAGTAACATATAACTTTCTAATGTCAAAGAAATGCTTTCAACAAAGTTTTGGACATGACTTTTTTCAAAAGATCTTTTCCTATGTTGATAGTGATCGAGTCCATGTTTTGAAAAAATTTTAACACTATCATCTCTAGGCAAGTGTCTGCTAGCAGATTACAAATGTGAAGAGGCAATACTTGAATATACCTGACAGAAACTTTGTGAAGGTAAAATGAATATAATCTTCAACCTAAATAATCACTCAGAGAAAACAATACGTCTAGGTAAATTACAGATCTAGAAAAGGAATTTGCAACTTGGAACTTCATTTCAGAATGATACACTAGTCTTCCAAGTACCATTCATATTAATCACGAGTTTTTTGTTTTTGTTTTTTATTTACAGAAAGACCATTCAGTAAAGACTAATATTAGAAAACACACAGCAATACTTCTTGGGCTCCTTATCAAGAAGTATTGATAACTCAGCCATTACTTTATATTTTGGCTGACAAGTGAATAAATAAAATTGTTAAGTCTATCCCTAAGTTTGTTCATCAATAGCAATGGAAATAGTGTATTTGAGTAAACTGGAGTAAACCAGTGCTAGAAAGTCGCCATTATCTCAATTTGCAGGTTCTCCTGTAGGGGAACAAAATGGCCACAAGGTCTGAGAGGAAGCCCTGACCTTCGGCTACTTACACGTAGTGGAGATGAGTTCAAGAGTGTTTGATGAACTCAATGAACAGGCTTTGAGTTGGATAAAAAAGTTGACAGGATATATGTTCAGAGAAAAATTAATTAAAATACATGCAAACTGTCCAAATTGACTGTGAATATTTCTGGTTAATGTGGTTTGAAGTTTGTGGGACAATTAAGAAAGAAAATCTGATGAATTGAAACATCACTAATTCACTGTGAAAGCTAATAACAGTATCTTTCATTATATTTTATAGATGCTCAGCCCTCACCGCAAAGTGTTTTCTTACATATGTGTTTTTCAAAAAATAATAATCCCCTCAACAACTCTATGAGATAGGTGTTAGGATACTCATTTTACAAGTGAGAAAGCCGAGACCCAAGGAAATCAAGGAACCTGGCCAAGGTACACACTGATTGCCTAGGCTGGGCTCCCAGGTCCCTTCTGTTTCATTCCAAAGTCTGTCTAAGCCTCTGAGACCAAGCCTGGCCTACCATTAGAGACGAATTCAAATATACCCACTTCAGATATTGGTAGGTGAAACACCTGCTGGGAAGTAAAACTGTACTCTCCACCTCAAAAGAAGATTCCAGCAGGTAAGCTTTTAGTAAAAACACATAAAGGGAAATTCCATTGGGCACACTTTGCTAAGGTATTCTTTACAGAAAATGTAAAGTAGGTTTCCCAAAGTTATCTTCCTGTAGCTGAGCATTCATACAAAATAATTATGACTAATTCTCACTAAGGTTTCCATGTCGGCACCTCTGTTGTTCAACAATTGGAAAATAAACTTCACAGGAGAGGATGTGTCTTAATTATAGAAGCAATCAACAAAGAAGATTTCGTAAAGATTAACTAAACCTTCATTTTAGAGATCATAAACTGAAGTTCTGGATGGCCGAGGAGCTAAGTTTATACAACTCGAAATAAGAAAATCACAATACTTTTTTAACTCATATCAGGATAAAAATGTTTTAAGTAATTCCTTTGACCAGACCATGGAAAGAAAACTCTCATTTTCTAAAGCAAACCATCACTTAAACAAAGACAGTAAACACTATATCAGAACTAACTTTTTGCGTTACTGCATTCTCACAGATATAAAATAAATAAATAAACAAATTGTGAGATTTAAAAGAAAGAATATAAAACTTGGTAGCCACTATAAAACCTAAAAGTGAAGGTCAATCAAATCTACTGGTTCAGTCACTAGTCAAAGTTTTTTTCTTTTTTCTGATAGAACCTGTACTTTACATCGACTCCTTGTTATTAAAATTTCATTTAGTTTTGGCCACTTTTGGATTTCATGTACCAAAATGAAGTGTCAAAGTGAAAATAAATAATGCTTACCATGTAAGTTCGTCTAACAGAGAAACACCCACTATGATATTTATGAAGAAAATCAACCATAAATAAAACAGGGCATTTGCCTGCTGGACCCGTGGCTAAATCTCCTTAGTGGCCATAAACTCACATTCATTATATGTGCAAATGTTAAAGAACACATTGTAAAGTTAATAAAATTTCATCAGAAGTACTCAGATCGTCATTGCAAGTGAAAAAGGATCAATAAAAACCAGTTCCAAACAAGGAAATCTGAAGTTGTAAACCACTTTGATGAGGCCACAGATCAAAACAGGGAGACCATTCTCTGCAGGCCGACCTCTCAACCCCCAGAGGAAGGGCTCACAGAGTGAGAACAAACCTTTCCAGGTGGAGGACTCCCAGTCACCAGGGTGTAGTAATCCACAGGAGGAAGGCATTGCCCCAAATCCCAACAGGGTAACTCTGAAGCAACTCCAATCCAGGAAGGATCTGATGCACTGGCGATCCAGGTGGCCCCCTGATAGATCCAGTGAGAACGCTGCAGGACACCGAAGGTCAACTCCAGAGGTCCCCCAGCCACTGCATGATGCTTTTAGAGGCTCACAAGAATCACACCTGCACAATTAAAACGAATCAAGGTCAGCTTCCAAGTCTCTCTCTTTACACTCAGTTTCCAGACAAAAGCAGCTGTCCCTTAATATAGCTCAGTCGTTGACATGAAAACTCACTGGTGCGCGACTCTAGCACCACAAGAAATCATAACTTGAACAAGTTAAAAGACTGTGTTTGGGTGTTATTAGCAGTGCCTTCGGTCTGACGTTTCATTTGTCTGTCAAGGGTGAACACATCCAAAAGTCCAAAGAAAGCCTCCAGCACTGGGAACAGAAGAGGGAGGAAAGTGGAGAAGGTGATAAATTAGCTCCCTACTTGGACCCAACCCACAAAACACACCTGAGGATAACTGCCTAAATTTGTCTTGCAGAACCAATACACCTCATAATATTTAAAGGCGTCCCAACAGCTAGAGCAAACATTGGCTCACTTCCAGCAAACCCCCAACCTAGGTCTCCGAGATGCCTCTTGCAGTAGTAACCAAGTGAAAAGACCAGCAGCTTTTGTAGTGAAGTGGGAAGCACAGGGAAAGAGATCCTAGATCAAATGAAGACGTAGGCTAGTTTTCGAGAGTCCTCTCCATCTGAGGCAAGAACCAACCTAGAAACCTTCCAAAGTGAAGCGACTTGGGGAACAAAGTGAGGGAGTCTCCCTTCGCCGTGAACGAGGGAAGTGCGCTGCCCGCAGGAGCTGGAACAACTATCCCTCTTTTGGGCGGGCGTGGCCGGTAGAAACAAAAGGTTAAAACACAAAAGGCGGAGCGCAGGGCTGGGTCGGGGGAGCTCCTGGGACTCGGGGCCCCCTTCCAGGCTAGAACACTGAAGTGGGAGGGGTATGCACAGCGAGAGTTGAGGACGGGTCCCAAAGACAGCAGGGGTCACTCAGGGTGGGTCCTGAAACTGAAAGGGGCCCAGAGGATGGCGGCTCCAACTAGTGGTCCAGGCCCCATCCCCTCCCTCCATCCCGGCATCTCTTGACAGTCTGGAGCTGGGGCTTCCTCCCCCCCACCCCGGCCCCCAGGAAAACTTTCCAAACTCTCGTCTGTTTATTGGAACGCCCTGGACCGCAGAGACCACAGTGCCAGTGCGGCCCCTGACACCAAACCTCTTCTGCACTCTATTGTTACAACCTTTTTGTGTCGTGCGTGGAAGACTGGGAGCGCTCCGCAGAGAGTTAAGTTATAAAACGGGTGAAGAAATGACCCCCAATCCGCCCCTCTTCTTTTTTCAAGGAGCAAAATCGAGGCTGGAGTGGGGGGTGAGACTGGTCTGGTCCCCGCCAATATGAGCCTTTGCGCCTCGCGTAAGTGCGCCACTGGGAGAAAGTGAGCCCGTGCCCCCTCTCTGGATACCCTCCTCCCACCCCACCCCCAGCTCTTCAGGGCAGAAGCACAAGAGGGAAATGCCTGCTTGAGTTTTGCCCATTGGAAACACAAAATGAAGTAGCACAATCCATGGAAGTTCGTTACAGAACAAAAGAGAAGGGAAGGAGAAACGGGGGTACCGAGTGCCCTGGCCAAACTTTGCCACTAGCCTACACCGTGCCCGGCGGGAGCCGGGCGAGCGAGGGGCCGGGAGGTAAACAAGACGACAGTCTCCACTCACCTTCTTCCCCACTTGGTCGCACTTTGGAGAGACGTGGTTTCCCTTGTTGCAGTCGGCGAGGCTCTAGGACACTTTTTTGTGGCCTGACAGCAGAGAAAGTCGCGTAGGCAAAGTTGCGAGAGGGAGATACCCGGGCGTCCGGGGGAGAGGGGAGGAGAGAGAGTTCATCAGAGTTCCCCCTTTTGTTCCCAGTCCCGGAGCAGACAAAGAGGCGGCGAGCGGCGGCAGGTTTCTCCCTCTCACCCCTTCTTCCTCTCCCTCCCCTCCCTCCCCGCCCCCTCCCTCTCCCGCATCTCCCGCCCGGCTAGGGAACCTTCGCGGCGAGCCGGGGCTGCTCAGTCCCCCGTCGCTAGCCAGTCTGCCCGACCCCGTCTTCCCTCCACCTCGCTCCAAACTTTTTTCTCAGGAAAAGCGGGTCCGGTACCCACCCCGCCAACCCTTTTGCCACCCCCAGCTTCCCAACGCGCCCAAGTCTACGGAGGGAGGGGGGTCTCCAAAATCATTGTTTCCGGGAGATGCACCTCTTTGTTTGCACTTTCCCTGCCAATCAGTGTGAAAGATCCACTTTGGCATCGAGTTTCCGTCAGTTTTTCATCATCTCAAGAGACAAAATGCGGAGGGTCGAGGGTCAACCCTAGAAGATAAAGGCGCTTACACAATCAGAGGTGGGGCGCACGCGAGCCTCTCCATCCTCGATCCTCCACTGGATTCACCCTCCTCCACCCAGCACACCAAACAAGTCGAAGGGGCTCCAAGTGATAGAAAACTCTCCTCCTTCCCTCCCTCGCCCACCCCTAGCCACCCACGCCGGCCCCTTGGAGCGCCCTCGAATCAGCAGGACAAAGGCCAGCTTGGGGGTCCGGCGGGACCTTCACCCACCTCTTTGGGCTACCTGTTGCTGCAGGCGCTGTACAACTCGGTCCAGGGGCCCAAGGGCGGATTTCCAGCTCCAGCATCGCGCCCACCCGCTCAGACCCCAAATCCCTTCCTATCTCAAACTGCCAAAGAAAGAAGGTTCTCAGGATACCCGCGCTCCTCCGACCCTAGAGCAAAGCGCTCTGCACCCGTGACCTTCCCTACCCACTACCTAGTCCTCGCCCCAGAAGACCTAACTCGGGGTACCTAACTGCCTCCCCATTTTACATCCTCTGGTACTGGCAATGCCCAGTTCAGTATCCCCTCTTACCATCCCCTCCTCCGCTGCCTTGTCCCGAACAAAATCAGGTGTCTCGGACCTGGAACAACTCCCCACCCTTCTCCAAGTCTTTTGCTTGACCTCCGGAACTGGGGACCCCCATCTTCGTCATCCCCCACCCTCGACCTCAGCCCAACTGTGGGCCCCAGCTTTGGCTCGCTGAGTGACTGACTGGGAGGCAGTGCTAATTTTCCTTCTAGATCTCATTAGAATTTAAGAAGAAAGCAGCGAGGTGGGAGAAATGGGAGAGAAAGGGGGCCTCCAGGGGAGGCAGTTTCTGGGGCAAAGGGGAAAAAAAAATTCCAAAAGGAACACCCACCCGGCGGCTGGCGGAGGACCCAGTGCGCACCTTGGCTTCCAGCCTCTTTGCTTGCCCAGTCCCACCCTGGAGTTCTTAGCGGGCTGGTGAAGTTTGGGGACAGAGAGTTGGGGTAAAGGGAAGCCTGGGGACTTGGAAGCTGTGTTCCGGCTTGGGCTGGGGGAATGCCAAGGGCGGGGAGCAAAGGGCTCCCGCTGGGTCTGGAATGTCGCGGGTGTGGGTCTCGCCCAGCGACTCCCCGCCAGGTCTCTACCCAGAGTAGAACAAAGACAGCGCGAGGAGCGCTTCTGTCCTGGCCTCTGGGCGTGCGCACCCCGCCCAGTGCTTCCCTCGCACCAGCCCACGCCGCGCTCGGAAACTTTGTAACCAACTTCCCCCAGAGTTTACGCGCGCGGCTCCTGGGCCCCAAGAAACCCGGATCATCGCCTCCCGGGACCAAAGATGCCCTCCACCCTTGCGCCTTCGGTCCCAGCCCGTGTGCGGGTCGGTCCCCAATGCTAGGGCCGCGGAGCGCGCGCTTTCCTGAGCTCCCTCAAAAGAAGGAGTTTTGTTTTATTGTTATTTTGGTTTTATTCAGTTCGGACGCGCTCAGTGTTAGGCCGAGGGATCGGAGAGAAACGGTGGCAAAGAGATAAAGGAGCAGCCGCTAGGAAGGCGGAGGGCGGCGGCTCGGGCTGCTGCGTGAAGCCGAGGGCGCAGGAGGAGTTGGAGCGCGGGCCGCACCCGTCGGGCCGAGTAGCTGCGCGCCGCGATCCGCCCCAGGCTCCCCGTGAGCCGTCACCAGGCCGCGGCGCCGGAACCTGGGACCCACTGGGACCCCGCACCTCCTCACCTGCGGGAACCGGGACACCTGCGCCGCCTCCTCCCCGGCACCGTCTCTGGGACAGCAGCTCTCCTACTGGAAGCGCAGGAGCTCATCTTAGGTTGGGAATCTCGAACGCACCACAGCCAACCACACAGAGAAAACAGCCCCCACCCACTCCTGTCTGGCGCTTTTTCCTCTTTGTTTAATTAAGATGACTTCCAGAATTCTCTTTTTAGGAGAAGTCTACCCTCCCCCGGACAAACCCTTCCCTTCTCCTATCGTCAGGGATCCGCGTGGAAAATGATGAAAAGTCAGTACTTGGAGACGATGCTTTTCCGCTGCCCCTCGAAGTACTGGAGTTGAGAGGGTCAAGTAACCAGGATAATTTCTAACTTCTAAATAACATCCAGTAGCCGACTTACGGTGCACCAGGAGAACCTATGAAACCATTGCTGACCCTTTGAAAATATTTACTGTTTCTCTTTTCTCAAGAAATAAGGGTCGTTTGCTAGGTGAAAATGACGGCCGCCTTCGGCTTTCTCGACGCTCCTGCGGGTGAGATACTCCTGTTACTGTGTTGCAGACTCCCTCTTTCCCAGCCCGCTTGGGAGCAAAATGGAGGGCCCAAGTCTTTAGCTGGACAGAGCTCCTGTCTCTATAGCAGTGCCCACTCCTGGGTGGACCAGTGCGTGGCCTACTCAGGCTACCTTTTAAAAGGATGCCGCCCTTGCTTGGATGCCACATTTTAAACTTTTTTTTTTTTAAGTTAACACCATCTGTGCTCCAAGATGGATAGTTGAGAAGCCGGGGTATCTGCTCTGTATTGACAGCACTGGAGCCTCAAGGCTTCCTTCCAACTTTACGCCAAGGCCATCTGACTGCGTGTCTCTCCCCTCTCTGTCTAGGGGTTCCTCTGGCTCTAGACCCCTTGTTGCTGATGCAGAGGATGGGCTGGAAAATGGAATGGACCTCAATCAACCTAAGATAGGTTTCTCACTGGGAGGTGGGACAACAGTCAAGGGCATCCCACAGACTCAGCTTTGAGTTTTAGTTACCTACAGCAGTGACTTCTCTCTAAGGAACACTGTGGGCTTGCTGGTTTCCTTCCTCCTTCCCTCCCCTCTTCCCTCTCCCCGCCCCTTTCTTCCCTCCTTCCCCTTCTCAGTCCTCTCTTCCCTACCCACTTCCCTTCTCTCTTCACTGCTGGTGCTACCGGAATCACATCCCAGAGAGACCCCAGTACTTGCCCCCAATCCTATGTCCAAGCTTAGCTTCTTAGAACTCAACCCAAGTTGAATACCTCTCCTGTATGTTCTTCCTAAAGCGAGGGAGGGCAGTCAACTTGAAGAATGAAAAGGCAACTTCAGATTTTCCCTAGAAGAGAAGTTATTTTAGTAAAAGTGTTTTGAGTTATCCAGTTCATTTTCTCTGCAATAGTTTAGGATCAGATATCTTACTGGATGAAACAGAAGTAGCCACAAGTAGAATCATATATCATGTGTGAAAGTTTTATCCACAGATTCATAACAAACACAAAGAACTCCCTTCATGTGATGCTGGGGGCCAGGAATTAAAATCACTTCTATTGAAAAATGAGTTAGAAGTCACTTAGGAGGGAGGTGGGGTGGAGCTCAGTGGTTGGGCACGTGCTTAGCACGCATAAGGTTCTGGGTTTGATCCCCAGCATCACGTGAAAAAGAAGTAACATAGAGGGCTTTTTATGCAGCGTCCAGTGAGATGGAGGACAAGCATATCTTGGACAACATGACCTCACGAGATCTGTGTGCCTTTCAGCAAATTTCTCAGGACACAAACTGGCCACTATTGCAACATGTTGTGTGAAATGATATATTGTCTCATTTTCCTGTGAGCCATCATTATGAACAAGTCATCTAAGGTCCACATAATTATAGCTCCCTAAGGCCATCCCTAGCTCTAGAACCTTCTCCAACCTAATCTGGTTACCTTCGCCTTTGCTGTTTTGAAATTCCCCGTGGTGGCCATTAGTGCTAGTCACCAAGCCCTGCTTTGAGAGGTAGGGCCGTTCCCAGCCCCTTCAGATGGAGTCCTGTGGTTGTTTGGCCAGGGAGATGTGGGTAGAAGTTGTGTTCCTGTCTCTTCCTGGTGGAGGCCTTAAGATCCATGTGGTTTTCCCATGTTCCCTCTCCAGCTGTCAAGGCTGATGCATCCTAGGTGCCAGAGCACTATCATTTGGATCTAGAATGTCCTCCAAAGACTTGGTGAACAGAGGGTGGCACTATTGGGGGGTAGGAGAGGAGTTGAGGTCTCTTGGGAGGAAGCAGATCACTTGGAATGTGCCCTGGAAGGATGTGTCATGTACCTTGCACCTGTTTTCTCCCCCTCCCCCTCCCCCCAACCTTCCTGGCCACCAAGAGGTGAGCAGCTCTACTCCACCTTATGCTCCACACCATGATATTCTGCCTTGACATAGCAATAGGGCCAAGCGACCCTGGACTGGAACCATGAACCAAAATGGATCCTTCCTCCTCCAAGTCATTTTCCCCCGGTTTCTGTCATAAAAGCCAATAACCAGAGCGAGCCCCCAGCCAACTCTCAGTGGTCATTTTAGTACATGAAAACTAAGACTTCCTGTCATGATCCACTGAGATTTGGGGGTTGCTTGTAACGCCAGCACCACCTGGGTGACTCTGGTCAGGTACTTCTGTTCCCTACCTTTGCACAGACACACACGTGGTTTCCGTATGGTTTGGAGATCTTTGAACATTCCTACAGAGGCTCACGTCCACTGCCCACAGCAGTGTCCAGGTGGGATTCAACCTCAGTGGTACAGACTGTGCTGGGCAAATGGTTTTTTAAAATAAAACGTTAGCTAATTTTGTTGAGGAAAAAGAAAAAAAAGCCCACCAACCAATTATTAGGAAGGGAGCAGAATTTTGGGCACTATGCCTT